ATACACTCCAGACACGCCGCTGGCACTAGAGGCACAGCATGGCCGCGTAGTGACGGCCCCGATATATATATATGTATATATATGTATATATATGTATATATATATATACATTTGGAGACAAATAGAGAGAGAGAGAGAGAGAGAGAGAGAGAGAGAGAGAGAGAGAGAGAGAGAGAGAGAGAGAGATTCATTGAAACTTGGATATGGAAAACATGCACACATAGGAATGCACACAAAAGTACATAGTTGTACACGACACAAGTAGTCAAAAGATTGCTTGTTGATTGATATCGTCTCGCCTTGCTTGCTGATTGATATCGTCTCGCCCATACAATCATTCCAACACACCCACGAACCTTCAACGAACTGCTAATCCCGCCGTTGGACCGGAGTCCTTTGGCTACCTCAAGAGGTCAAAAACAATCGCCATCAATCTATTTATACTACTCGCATAGTGCCACTCACTACGTCTTCTACTGATCACGCATCATCAGTCAAACCAAACTCCGTCTGAACACAGCACATGTTCCTGGGCCGGCCGCGTACTATCATAGGTACACTACAAATCAACAGACCGTCGTACCTGGTTCACGTTCCAGTACCAAAAAGCAAGCGTACTACATCGACCAATAGTCCCGCAAGTACCGGGGTGCCAAAGGCCAAAGGTCAGGTCCCCGAAAGGACAGAAAAGGTAGCGGGTCACAACAGGCCCCCTGAAATTTATCAAAAGCCCTGTCCAGTTAACGTTCGAGATCGAGCCCCCGAAAGGACAGCCCTGTCCAGTTAACAACACTCTGAAACCCACGAGTTCTATACAGAGTAAATCCCTACCTGTAAAATCGGCAAAACCAAAGAAAACAGGAAAAGGAATAAAAATAAAAATGACAAAGGAAAAACAAAGCACATCAACGAAAACCCCAGGGCATTGGGCAAAACGGGGAGATGTTCCCTCCCTCAACACTCAACCACCAGTCTCAATATATCAGTTTCACCGCTTGCCTCCAAATGTCACCCCGTCGCACAGCGAAGCGCTTCAGCACCTGTTTAATAAAATGATCGGGAAAATCCTTCAACAACAGCTCCCAGTGCAAAGCGCGTACCCGACAGGGGATCTCAGATCTGATGGAAGTATTCTGGTCTATCCGATGGAGGTAGCCTCCAATGATAGCACTCTTTTGCTGTTTACTCCCCCAAGAAAAATAGGATTGCCCGTTCATAACCTTAAGGCGATCTGAGGTCCAAAGACAGTCCTCATTTCGTGAAACCTGCACACATCCCATAAACGGGAAAGTCTGCGAAGTCCGTATCTGACATCCAAGAAAATCCAACACCCCAGTCCCTTCGTCCGTTCGCTTAAGCAACAACTCCTTGGGGTAACAATCCTCGAAGGCTCTTAGAACGAAACTATCCTCACCTTGTCGCGATGAAATGACCAACATGACGTCGTCCACAAGTCGCGAGGCAAACAGATACCGATTAGCCCGCCCGATCACATGGTTGAACCCATACTCAGAAAAGGCACACAAAATTCACGCTAATGGGGGGCTAGTGGCTTTCCCCATTGGTATGCCAACCTCTTGTTTCAACAAAATCCCAGTTGCATAGAAATAGGTGTGGTCCATCTCTAAGAAAACAAAGGATCGCAAATCTTCCAAGAAAACTTTCCTCCAGTGATCCCCTCCAGTAGTCAACCCGAAACTGGCCCCCTTCCCACGTGTATTGACACGTACGAATTCTCGCCCCTTCTCCATGTGATGGTGAACAATCCAGTCCACAACGTGTCGGATATCAGAGTGCGGAAGCTTGCTAAATGTATCCTTAATGTCAAAGGAATAAGAGGTGACAACACGGTTCGCTCCCAAACTGAGAAATCGCTTATTGCCTGATTCCAAGCGTGCGGTAAGTGCCGAAACAGCAGGGAGGTTGAAATGCCAATGCTTAGGAATCGTATTCAACAAGTGGTTAAGTGCTTTCGAGACCACCCGCCCCGTCCGAACCATGGGCTCCGCAAACGAAGGACATATTGGTCAAAAACGTCCCAAGTCCTTATGTTTAGGCAGGAGATAAGCATAACCGAATTTACCATTACGATCCCATCACGAAAAGGCCTTCAAACCCACCCGCTTGACATCTTCCCTAACTTCCCTAAGCACAACACTCTCGGCGCAATCGACGATCCGGTAACCCGGATTAAGCACAAAGGTATCCATCATTGCATTGTAATACATCAGAGGACACATGACCACAGTTTCCCCCGGGTTACGATCCACTCCCGTCAACACCAAACCGTCGAATCTCTGTTTAATCCCGAGAACATCCTGAGTAGATAGGCAGTGCCTATCCTCATAAGCCGTTGAAAAACATTTACTCAAAATATTATCACTAAAGTCCGGGGGAGCACCTCCATGATTGCTCCAGCTGGCAAAGCCAGCTCGCAGTTCATCCCGAAAGGATGGTAAACGATCCGCAACACGTCCACAGGGTACGTTCTTAGCATTCCTCATGAGGGGATGAATCCCCTTAAGATCACTCAAGCGAAACAACAAATGATTAGACGAACGTGGGAGATCCAGACCTGCGCAGGTGCAAGTCAGCACAGTGCGTGTTAAAAAACTACGCATATTGTGCAGAAAATCGGCAATAGTGGGGTTCTTAGTTCCCACTATCCGAACTTTCCTCCTCGTTCGAAGCAAGAAACACATAGGTAAGTCCAATTGCAAAATAGCATCATTAATCACTTTTCGCACCTCCGAGATGATGATACGGTCGTTAAAACGGAAGCGAAAAATCAGGTCAGCCCCAAGGTTTAAGACAAATTTCTCACTTGAGACAAGCCTCTGTAAATATTTACGTGTTGACTTCTTCGAGAAGTCCTTAATAACACGGTAAATACGAAGTTGGGACCGCATCCCCCAGTTGCTAATCTGAGAAATATTTCGATGATTGCATAAAATGTTCAACAAAATCGTTTTTAAGTAATTACAACGTGCAGACCATTTACAGACGTAGGAGATAGAGAAGTTACCCCCCGATTGCAACAACAGTTTGCAATCCTTCAATCTGAACGTACCAGATTCGTGCACAATGTTAGTCTCCCCAAAGGCTTTGAGCAGCTTACCCCAACTTGGTTTCCAAAAGTCACCTTGCTGAATACAAAGTTCCACCCCACGATTACCAGAGTTCAGGATACTGTCGAGGAAGTCGTAAAAGTCCACCCGCCAATCCCTAGCATTCAGAACCCGAAAGCGTATCGGTTTCCTCGTCCGGTTGGCATCAATCCTCCTACTCCCCCTAGTGCGTTCCCTCTTTCCCTTTTTACACTTCCCACATTTACTACCCGGTTTAGTACATCCAACGGTATTCAGGAACGGAGACCAAAGCTTAATATACACCTGTTCAAGCTTACCCAAATCCGTCCCGACTAAAACTTCCACAGGTAGCAACACATAATTACCAATACCAAAACTTGAAAGTCATCGGTGGAAATGAGATTGCTTACGTTTTCGACAACAATAAAGATGTTCCTTCCAACGTGTATCGACATTGCGAGTGGATTTACCTACATAGATTGATTTGCAAAAGAGAGAGATCCCGATATACACACAATGAGTAAGGTTAAAAATATCCAATCCATGTCGATCATACAAATCAATCCAGTTTACAACACACTTTTGTGCCCAACGAATCTGCCCCTGTACAACAAGCAAAAGTACAACCAAGCGAAGCAGCCTCTCCACAGCCTTATCCGCGACGGTTTCCTCACAGTGATACTGAGTTAACAAGCGGCAGACCTTCCAAAGTTGCGCAATAGACAAAGCTTTTCACCCCTCTTCAGCAGGGGTCACCTCCTGGTCAGCAGTCGAATCGTCCGAAACAATTATCCGTTCCGCCTCACCTGCATCCGTCGAAAACGCTCGCTCCGCCCGAGAATCAACGATATCAAAGATCGCTTCGATCTTCTTGTCGTAATGGATGTTTTCCTCGCGACAGATTCGCTGCAGGTCAGTAGCATCCAGGACTCCAGGTCCTTTAATTCACGCAGCACGTTCTCTCGGTACTGAAGACGTTCCAACGTCACCTCAGATTGCGGTGTCAGTGTCCATGTTCGTTTGCGCGTCGGCGTTCGCCGCTTCGAAAGCGGTGTAGCAACTTTCTGTTTGGTCGACGTAGGTGTCAACCCCCCTCCAACTTTCTTCGACTTGGATCGAGTCCTGCGACCAGTTATCTTTACTGGTTTCAATATCCCGCACTTCGGTGTACGTTTGGCTGGTTGGTCCATTGGAGGGCTCGACTCCTCAAAGACCGGTTTCGGTCCCCGTTTTCGCTTCTCAGAAATCACCAAGCGCTCGGCGAGTGCACTCAGCTCCTGTGTAACACTAGTGTCACTGCCGTCTCCGGTGCTAGACGAGTACTCCTCCACGTCAGACACGTAGGTGACCTTCTTCTTCCCTCTGTCTTGGTTGGAGGGAGGAACAACCGAAACGACCTGGTTCAGGCGCTGCACCAATCGCTCCTCCAAATCGCCGACATGGATGGCTAGCTGAACCTGCAGGTCCTTTTGCATTTCAGCACGCTTCGTATCCTCCGCAAGCTTCTTTTGCTTACGCCTCAGAGCCTTCTTTTCCGCCTTAGCGCGTTCTTCTTCCGCGCGTGCAGCTTCCTCCTCAGCGCGTCGCCGCGCCTCCTCCTTCTCCATCTTCCGTTTCAGTTTCCACTCCTTTTTCTCTCGCTCGGCTACGTAGAATTCCTCCAACACCGCCACTCTCTTCCCTAGCTTGGCAATAGTACTACGGACTTCAGAATGATCCCGTTGTGGGGCAGAATCCCATCTACCAGAATCATGCCGTCTAAGTGAACGCGTGTGCCTAGAGTCAGTCGACGACGAAGGTCGTGCGCTGGAGTATCGTCTCCCTTGATTGGGGCACTGATTAGCATAATGCCCAACCTCCTGACACGAGAAACACGTAGGAGGTCGATACGATCTTCGTTCTCCGCCCTCATTCGCCGGCTCTCGGTCACGCCGATCCCGCTCGCCATCCCGTCTCTCGCGCTCCCGCTCCCCACGATCCATCGAATCCTATGAGGCCATCCAAGCTTCAGTTAGCCAGTCGAGAACTCCCTGGTACCCACGATGTGTGGGACTGGCAACTCCTCCTTCGAGTGCTCCCGAAACTCGTTGCTTTTCCCGGCAGTCCCCCCACGGGTAGCAGAATACAAGTCAGTACATTCGTCGCAGCTATACGTGCTCACTCAAGCCCGGTAAGTTCGTCTCCAGGTAAGTTCACACGCGCAATATCAATGGATAAGGAAAACATGCACACATAGGAATGCACACAAAAGTACATAGCTGTACACGACACAAGTAGTCAAAAGATTGCTTGCTGATTGATATCGTCTCGCCTTGCTTGCTGATTGATATCGTCTCGCCCATACAATCATTCCAACACACCCAAGAACCTCCAACGAACCGCTAATCCCGCCGCTGGACCGGAGTCCTTTGGCTACCTCAAGAGGTCAAAAACAATCGCCATCAATCTATTTATACTACTCGCATAGTGCCACTCGCTACGTCTTCCACTGATCACGAATCATCAGTCAAACCAAAGTCCGTCGGAACACAGCACCTGTTCCTGGGCCGGCCGTGTACTATCATAGGTACACTACAAATCAACAGACCGCCGTACCTGGTTCAAGTTCCAGTACCAAAAAGCAAGCGTACTACATCGACCAATAGTCCCGCAAGTACCGGGGTGCCAAAGGCCAAAGGTCAGGTCCCCGAAAGGACAGAAAAGGTAGCGGGCCACAACAGCCCCCCTGAAATTTATCAAAAGCCCTATCCAGTTAAGTTGCCTCGATGATGATTTGTCCACCGCATGGAGCGTGTTGTCGGTTTTCCTCTCTCTCTCTCTCTCTCTCTCTCTCTCTCTCTCTCTCTCTCTCTCTCTCTCTCTCTCTCTCTCTCTCTGTCTCTGATAAGTCGTCACATGTGGTGAGCATGCGAAGCTTGTGTGAGTACATACATTGTAATTAGTCCTGCCATTGCATCCATGATACCTTCAAAGGAGCCTGAAAAAAACCTCAAAAACCTTGAAAAGTAACATAAAAACCCAGTAAATTTGACATAAAAAAAAAAAATCAATAAAATGAGAGTCGGGACATGTTCGTGGGGTTAACATTTATATGAACCGTCCTTTTTTTACCGTTTTCGTACGATATTCATACATACATATTTATTTATTAGCATATTGTTTGATTCATTGACTGGTTAATCGATTGATTGGCTGATTGATTGATTGATTGATTGATTGATTGTTTGATTGACTGATTGATTGATCGTTTGAGTGATTTGATTGATTTGATTGATTGATTGGTTGATTGATTGATTGACTGATGGATTGATAGATTGATTGATTGGTCCATTGATTGGTTGATTGAGTGATTGATTGACTGGGTGAGGGTCACTCCTTCCCCGAGGGCTGCAAACCATCCATCCAATCAATCAATCATTGATTGATTGATTGATTGATTGATTGATTGATTGATCGGACCTTGAACGACGACCACGGCAGGAGGACAACATCGACAGCAGCAACACGGGCATGCAAACCATCACTGCTCACGAAGTGGCTCAGACTTGCATGCCACACCTTCACGGTTTCTAACGACAACCATGAGACATGACCCTGTTCCCATCAACCAGGGGAGACGGACCTGCCACCCACGACCTTCCCGTCCGCTCAAAATAGTCGAACCAAACCCACTGTCCCACCATCCGCTGCCATTGTCGAGATTTGGAAAACGGGTTTTTAAGTCCACGTAGGAAAAAGGGGCCACGGACCGAGTGAAAACGGTCGTCAGTCATCTTCCGCGACGGGGATATTGGTCTGCGGGGTCTGGGAAGTTGCCTCGCGACTTCCGAAACCGTTTGCCGCCGTCCTGTGGGGTCCCTCCCTTTTTTTTTTTTTTAACAAAAAAAAACAGCCCTGGAGTCAGCTTGAGGTGCTGGTAGGAGCAGACACATCAAGCTGGCCTCGGGGAGACTCCATCTATTGGTGGGGAGCTGCACCTGCTGGGAAGCGGGCCCAGCGTCCCAATTATAAAATCATAAATGTTATACAATGTCCCATTAGTTGCATGAGGGGGGCATGCCACTTCGGCCCATGAGCAGAGCGGCCGATGCAGACATGCATTCCCAGGCGAGGCCCCCCTCAGAGTGCAGTGCAGTGCATCTCGTGGCTGCAGTCAGCAGTGCAGTATGGCATCGCAGCTTCCACATCGTAGTCTCACAGTCCTGAAAAACCCGTTTGTCATGCATCGTCGACCATGCAGAAGTTGCAGATGTTGCACAAGTTCACATCTCGTCTTGTCATCCTTTTCTTTTTTTTTTTTTTCTTTTTTTTTAAACAACCCGGTCGGCTGCTAGGGGTGCTGATAAAAGGAGACACCGCTAGCACGGTCGATGAGGCTCCATCTATTGGTGGGGAGCATCACCTGATGGAAATCAGGTCCAGCATCCCTGTATAGTACAATGTAAGAAATGAAAGCTATGAAACGAAAGCGTCTTGTCATCCTAAGAGCATGGCACAGAGCAGCTCAAGTCGGCAGTGGGTCATGCACCATGTCTTCCCGGCTTCCAAACCGCAGTCTGTTGACCCCTTGAACCCCTGAACCCTTGTATCGTTGGGCTGTTACAGGAGCTCATTCTTCCCCCAGGGCGGGGTACTTTGGTGCGGCCCGATCCGAGTGGCAATATGCAGCATACTCCGGTCCAGGGAGGAAGGGGGGGGGGCAAGGGACTTGGTTAAGGGTGTAGCGGGGAGGGAGGGTCGAAGGAGTGGCGGGGGGAGCTCAAGGGGTTTGCTTAGGGGTTGCCGACAAGAACGAAGTTGGGCTGAAGGTAGGGGACGTGAAAGTCGACCCGAGGTCGTCTGTGCCACTCCTGCTCCATGCGCCTCCATGGTTTCCAGTGAATGGTGAAACTGTCATCCAGCTCACTGAATCGGTGCAGGGGGTCCTGCCATATCTGTCGGTATGAGCACATAATTGCCTCTTTGGCCTGCGGTTCTTTCACTTCTCGGTAGCCTTTTTGCATGGCCTTCCATGCATCCTGGTTCCGCAAGCGGATCACGTCTTCCATCACCTGTTGCATTTGTTGGAAACCGAATTGGTGGTCCTTCCTCTCATAGGAGCAATGGGCCTGCCAGGCTAGCATAAGGACTTGCAGCCGGGTGTAAGAGAACAGGTTAACTGCGAACGGGGACCAATGGACCAACAGGTGTCTGTTCTTGCCCAGCAACAACAGGCCCAGGTCCCAGGGGATGTGGACAGACGTGAGGGAGCGGAAGGCCGCGTCCCACCATTGCCACAGCTGGGCCACCATAGGGCATGCGAGGAGACAGTGCTCCAGTGTGGCACGAGTGGGCAGTGATGACTGGCCAGAGTATGAGCATATGGGGGAGAGTTGCCCTCGCTGCTCCATGTCAGTTCTGCTGACCAACCAATCTGGGGTGGGCAGGCAGTGGTGCAGGATCTGCCATTGCAGTGACCGGAGGTTGTGGGCATGATGTTAGCGCATGTGGACCACGGCAAGTCCTGCATGAGGGCCGGGTCCATAGGGGTGTCACGGGCCCAGCGATCTGCTACCGTCTTATTCAGCGGTTGGTCCGAGCTCGAGGCTGTATAACCCCCTTTGACTGTGTATTCCCATGCAGGCATTGTCTTACCTCCTGGCCATTCACACTCCAGGGGGTCAAAAGGCAGTAGTGCCACCGGGGTCGAAGCCTCATAGACAAATTGCCCAGCTTTGGAATCCCCCACCACTCTGACCTGCAGTAGGCCTCCCCATTGTGCGTCGTTGTCGAGGTCCTCATTCCATGTAAGCTTCGAGAATCTTGCCCTTGGCAGCAGGGGTTCGTAGGCCTCCAGGGTGCAGGTGCCTTGACCTTTTATGGGGGGAGCATGGAAAGGAATGAGAGTATGACGATAGCAAATAAATTTCGGATAGTGGGCTTCTGGATTCTGTGTCTACCCCGAGAGAGAGACGATTCAAAGGTGTTTTCTTATCTCAGTCTGCAATCAGAAACAAATTCAAGTTTGCTATTCGTAAATTGATGGAGGCAGAATGGAGGAATATCAGACTTTCCCATCACCTGCCCCAAACGGCTAGAGCAAGTATGTCTGCAATTTGGGCCAGCAGTTTCAAATGGATATCTTTCTCAGACAGTGGCTTTCTCAGACAGTGGCAGGGATGAAGCGGAAGATGGCCCGGAAATTTTGTAGCAGATGATCCTTGTTGGCCCCTAAGCTAACAAGGTGGGCGGAGATGCCCCTAACGTCAGGCAGAGGTTCTCCCTTAGGGGCAGGCTGAGAGGTCCTCCTTAGGAGACTCCGCCCACCTTGTTGGCCCCTAAGCTAAACTGGGTAATGCTCCCAGATATCCCTCCAAATTGTTGTATTCATTATGGGACGCTGGACCCGTTTTCCAGCAGGCGCAGCTCCCCACCAGCGGAACGGAGCCATCCATGGAGGACCCATAGTTCCCATCGGTGCTTTTATCACCACGAGAGATCTTGCAACTTCCCCCCCCCC